ACTCTCGAAAGCCGATTATGAGAAGACAAGGACAGTGGTTTTGATGGGTTTAAGAGTCTTGTAAGGTTGAAAGAAGGGGTTTTGTTGTTGGCTAATAAAGCCCTCGAAGAAAAATTGAGCTCCATTTTCTGAGACTTTAGAATCAAAAGCTTGAAAATGCTCACTGAGAAAAGGTAAAGAGAAAGTTTTTGGGTATTTAGGGTTTAAGGGGATTCCCAATTTAAAAACCACAGGCGTTTTTTTTGTAAATTCCATATTTACCCTTTCATTTATTTGGTTATTACGGTTTTAGGTTGGATGAGGATTGTGATCATGTGAACAACCATTTTAAGCTTATTAAAAAAACTCTTTGATCAAGAACATGAAAAACGTTTTGATACTCATGAAATATGTTTTTGAGTATCTTGAATAATATCCACTATTTTATGGGAGTTAAAGAATAAATTGTGGACTAAAAACACAAATATCAACTTATCTTTTTGTTTTTGTCATCAAATATCAACTTATCTTTCACTTATATATACCAATTTTCAATGTTATATCAATGGTTCATGGAATAAAACAAATAACTTTTAAAAGTTTAGACTGGTTTTGTTTCTAAGAGAATATAAAATAAGTTATGTCATGAAATTTATAATATACACAAACATCTATCTTCACAATATTTTGAATTGGAAACATTTATATGAGTCAAAGTTATAGTCTTATAGAACAAATCAAGCAGAAGTGTACGATAATAACTTTTGCTTTTTCAAAATTGATAAAACTGAAAACTGATCAATTTTTTTGACGTATATAGATGAGTTTGTGAAATTTAAGAATTTGCTTTTTCTTCTCTCCTTTTAATATTTTCGCAATTTTAAACTTAAAGACTGTGATGCTAATCAATATCCATATAATATGAGTTATGTAGATTTTGTCTCTGGTTTAAAATTTTGAACCATTTTAATTTTATTATATCTGTTGAAAAATTCTATCACTACCCAAGGTTAGGAAGAGTCCAAGAGAATATAATGTCTCGTTTTCCATGTTGAGGAAAATAAAAATCATCTATAAAGCCCAGCCCAATTGAAGCCCAACAATGATATTTCATTCCCAATCATTCGTTAAACAATTCCTAGGCAAAGTATAGCTAACCAACTTATTGGTAGCTTGCAATACTAATACTATCTACGTATTTAACTTCATCAATAGTAATTTAAGTACACGAAACAAAACCATACAACTATACATACTGAAGCCCCTATCATCTGTATCAAGGAGACACTAAAGTGAAAAATCCTAAATGTCACTCAATGAGAATTTTAAGAAACATGTCATTTAAATTAACCAATGAAAACATTTTAATTCAAATAATATGTCATGATGGAAATCTCTACATATTCTTATTAATTTTATAACATAAGTTCATTAATACATGTTTTAC